GCTTGGTCCCATATCAGGAATAGTTGAGAAGTCTTCATCCTTGTTGAAAACTGAAGAGAACTGCTCATTCAGGATATTGGCCTTTGTGTCACTGTCGCAGAATAGCTTAATTATACCTACTTTCAAAGTGCAAAAAGGGGAAATAACTCATTAAAATTGGAAGCCACAGATTCATATGCAACTTGCCAAGATAATGGAGTTTATATTGGTAAATAACTGTATAAATTATGAAGGCATTGGTGTAGATATATCCAACTTGTTGACTGCATGAGGTTAACATACATATGGACAGAAAGACAGAATGGTTCAATAACTAAATATGCCAATTTGACTGTATCTTCTTAGACTGGTTAAATTAAAATGTTATTCAACATACATGTACTCTTCATTATATATGTGTGAATATCAATCTACAGTGTGTTACTGAGTTTTAAGTTATTCTTATACTTAAGGTAGTATCTAATAACACTGATAATTCTCATTTCCATTTGATGTTATTGCAGAAGGGCTTACGGGGCTGTGGATAATTGGAAATCGAATTGGTCATGGAGCAGTGAAAATCTGAACCAGTAGAAAAAACAAAATACTGTATTTCTATCCCTTATCAAGAATCAGTATCCCATAAGAAAAACGTTCAACTGAATCTTAGAAAAGCAAAAGAAGAAATGATTAATAGGTCAAATCTTTTTTAAACTTCAGATAAGCAGCAAAAGGATGAATGACCTGACATGATTCTTTGTAAAATGTTTCCTCAAACTAAGGGTGTAACGATACGCTCACCTCATGATATGCTGGTAGACAGACGTTTCACTATTAAAACGGTTCACACCCAGACATTTCACTCCCTTTTTATAACAAAATTATTTTGATACTCATGATATACTAAAAGAGACCAAAAATATTGAATTGAATTGAACTAAAATAGATCTTAAATTTAATAAAAATAAATTAAAAAGGGGAATTTCACTTTTTTGTCAATGGCTTAAAACTCGGTACTTTAAGTTCTATCATTTCAAATCTTTTGTAAACATGCAAACTCCATAGGCAATTTTGATTTAAAGCATAACAATCTTGTGACAACAATTAACTTTTAGTAAAGTGTTTTTTTTGTTGTAAATTTTAAACATGGGATAAAAAATTGTTAAATTATTTAATGCTAGTATAGTGCTTTTACGATATATGTCAAAAAGTACAATGGCCGTTGAATTTAAATTAAATTAGAAGCATAATGGGACTTTTACAATATTTGTCATGTTTTATCATTTTTTGTGATTAAAATTCATTATTATATAAACAAAACTTATGGAGAAGTTTCTGTGTTCAAATTGGCTGTAGTCAAAAAATATTTTGATGATTTAATAGTGGTGTCAAACTGTTAGTTGATTGTCTCAGTGTTTAAACAACTAATTGGGCAATGAGATAACACCACAATTACTTAAGGTTTTTAATGGCTACTGTTTAATAAATTGATGAATAAAATAATTTTATTATACACATGTTTCGTATTTCATTGTTTAAGACTTACAAAAAATAATCATTATATAGTCAATGAATTAAATATACAGTATTGATATTTTATTTATTATTTGAACAATATTTATAACTTTAGTAATTTAGTAAGTAAGTAACTTTACTGTTTACTGTTTGATATTAATGAAATTTATATTTGTTAACTTTCTTAGTAAACATCTCTAAAAATTTGGAGTGAAACATCCATACAATTGACAAAATGGGAGTGAAACGTCTAGTTGTGAACCGTCTTGGGAGTGAAACGTCTCATTAGTGAAATGTCTTGGGACTGAAATGTCTGACATTCACTACAATGTACGTATCACGGTATAGGGTCCTTGATACGATACGTATCACAATAAGAGTAGACTAAAGAAAATTGCCTGTAATCCATTTAAACTTTATATTTTCACACAGATGTATTATGCAAAATTTATTTAAAGTTGTGATGTAACAACATTATGTTTTCTATTGACATTTTGATAGTTAAAGTAAATGGCTAAAAGCTTTAATATTTTCTGAAGCTTTGAGAAGTAAAATACCTAATAAAATAGAAATATCATTCAAAATAGAAGCACAGATGATAGAAACATCACATTTGTATTGTCATATGTAAGGTGATTAAACTATTTTGGATAAATTACTCAAGTTTAATAAAATAATTTAAAGTGTTCAACATTTAGATGTACTGGATGAGACAATTTGCAGACTACATGTAATAATGTGCATAAGCTGAACACAAAAATTATTTTACTTACTCACTTATAGCACATTCATAACGGTTATAATGTAGTTACTAACAGTTACATATATCTTGACAATTAGGAACGGTATGGAAAATAATTAGGAACGGTATGGAAAATATCCAACAAAATAGCGTAGCCTTTACTCTATACAACTAGCCGTCTATTGCAGTGTTTTAACAATATTTTGGATTCAACAATGTAGGGTTTATTTGCATAAGTGTCAAGATATTGTATTATCATTTATTCACAAATTTCAGCTTGCCAAAAAGTCACAGTTTCCCAAAAAGGCAGTTTCAGCTGATGGTCAGTTCTTACAAAAATAACAATGTCAGAAAGATAAATTCAGCACATTGAAAAAGCAGTCAAAGAAGACATTTTCCCGATAATTTTTTCACCTTAAATCCAAAATGCTTCTATATTTTGACTAAAAAGACACTGACCCTGATTTACATTCATCTTCTGCAATTCTCGTGATACCGGTGGCTCCATAGTACCAGTGTATTCACGTATCTCGCAATAAAATCATCAACATCAACTGCCGATTCTTAATATTGACATGCTCTAGTAATGTTAGTCCAATTATATATCAGACGTCACAGGTTTCTTAATTATAGTTTATGTTGGTCAAGCCTTGCCAAGAAACAAAAATATCTCAAAGCGTCATCATATTTAAAGGACTATAGTAATGTTTCCTATTTCATACGTTTTAAACATTTTGGTGAAGTTTCTGATGATAATATTTCACATATCCTATAGTGATCTTTCTCACTTAATTGGGAAGAAACCATAGCCGCTTGATTTTGCTAAATTTCGCTAAAATTGCTATAATGTGGAAAGTAAAACAGCAGGTTTAAGTTCTGATCTTTGTGAAAACTGCATGATTAAGGAAAATTTGAAAGAAGCCTTTTACCGGAGTCTGTTATATAAGCAGGAAATCACTGTCCTACAAAACTATCGTCATTCATTACAGCATAAGGCCAGTTAGGAATGACAGACTATTCTCTCCCTTACCAGTTCCTCCCCTGACGGTTCTCTCCCAAACCATTTCCTCCCCTGACGGTTCTCTCCCAAATTTGAAATAAGCAGACAGTTCTCCCCCAATTTTATTTTTATAAGTTATCATTTAGTTTTGACTTAATCTAATATTTAACATTTCTTAATGAAGATGTTTGATGTTCAGTGCATTTTATGTTTTATGTTTATCTGAAAAGTGTTTGTAAATTTAACACCTTTTTTAGGTATTTTAATCCTATCAACACCTTCATTGTGAGAGATTAAGATAACTGGACAGTGATTGATATACACCTGTAATTATGTTCAGGTCAAGTGATATTTATTTATTTGTTAAATAGCAAATAACATAGTAACAAGTATGTTCTAGAAAATAAATAAGCAACACCTGGTATGCAATCACATTTCACATTTACTTTTATACAAACTTGATTAAAGGAAATGTAGACATTCACTTGAAACAATATATAAGACCAAATAATTACTAAAAATATTTAGTCCTCAACATCTTTTCACAGCTATTTTAATCTAATCAACACCTTGATTCTTGAGTAATGAATTAATAAACACCTTAATTATCTCTGACAGCAAACTTAATGCACATGTGTATTGAACAACTTTCTTCATTATACAAAAATATGACATTTGGGTATAAAATGCATTAATTAATCATTTTTTCTTATAAATTTTAGTCTTATTTATTTATTAATAAAATAATGAATAAAATAAATACAACACAATATAGTTAATACCTAATGATTATCCTAATCAAGTAAATGATTCATTTTAATTATTTTCAGTGACTAAACACATTAAAAAGTATACATTAGATCTGATTAAAAAAAATCAGAATAATTAATTATTATGCTAAAACATTTTCTTTTCTAATTTATATCAACTTACCCATATATTAAACATCTAAATACGTCGATGATTTTTTTTCCTAATTTATATCAATAATAATTTATCAATTTATTAAACATCTTAATACATCAATATTTTTTTTTTGTAATTTTTATCAGTTAATAATAAACTTACCAATTTGTCTAACATCTAAATACTTCAATACAATATTTTTTTCTCTCCCATTTTTATCAATTAATAATAAACTTACCTATTTATTTAACATCTTAATACTTCAATTTTAAAAATATTTTTTTCTAATTCATATCAATTTTAATTAAACTTACCCATTATTTAACATCTGAATACTTCAATAATAATGCATTAATAAAAATAACAATGGGGAGGAACTGTCTGCTTATTTGCAAATATGCAGACGGTTCTCCCCCAAAATAGGGAGAGAATCGTCAGGGAGGAAACGTCAGGGGAGGAAGTGGTAAGGGAGAGAATAGTCTGACTACCGCCAGTTAGTGTTATAAGTTGAGCCCAAAGACATTGTCATTAAAAAAAAAACATTCCGTGAGTCTTATGGATTTCATTTCAGATAATAACTATTTGTCTGATTAGATGTAAATTGAAAGTTTGTACCTGTTATGTGCCCTGAAAATTATTCAGATTTCCTTTCAATTTTCCGAAAATCTCTACTGGTTTCCCCAAGTGAAAGTGAAAGTACAAAAACAATGAAATAATTTCAAATAATTATCCCATATTTTAGTCTCGTCACTTATATCACTTCAAACTTTTATCAGGTGAAAAGATAGTCTTCAACTTTCACTATTCTAAATAATTTTCACATATTTTACTTAAAAATAAGAGAGACCCTAAAAATACCGTGGGAAATCCCAAACCCACGGTCTCGCAACTACTCGGCATTTTCCGTCAACCGTCGAATAATATGTCGAGGTGTTCGGTACGGGTCGCACTAAACTGCTGACGAATTAGCTGACGATATAGATATATAGGAAACTGCTGACCAGTTAAATAAAGAAGGATTATCGGAAAATGCTGACCAGTTACACAAAGAAGGGAAACATTGAAGGTGTGAAGTTATATAAACACGCCGTAGGGGGTAATAAAAAGATGGGAAATTACTTTTATTCTTTTAATTATATTTTTAATTTTTGCATTTATATGACTATGTTTATAAACTAAATTAATATATACATTTAAAGTACCATAATATCATACATTTTAACACGGATTTACATTACTACATGTAATATAAATCCGTGATTTTAAAAGGATATATTAAACAGCTTTTTATACCTCTAAAGATATGCAAAAATTTGAATTAATGTTTTATAAAGAATTATGATGTTATGAGTTTTATCAAAATCTCTTGTTAGTGATATTTCAATAGAAAAATCTTGTAACGGAAAAAAAAATGTATTTTCAAAAGCAATAATTGCAATTTGAATTAATATTAAATAAGTCAGCAGTGTTTTAACTTAATTAAATGTCGACAAAATTTTATACAATATATTGAATTTCGTACATTATAAAATGAATTAAAATTTCACGACAAAATATATTTTTTTCTATATTTCTAACTGGTCAGCAGTTTCCCTATATATCTAACTGGTCAGCAGATTCTACTATATGTTTAACTGGTCAGCATTTTCTCGCCTGAATGTAAAGAGCGTTAAATTTGCTGACCATATAGAACAGAACAGAACAGAACAGAACAGAATTTTATTTACAGACTTATACATAGGTACATCGTCTTGTTTAACAAAAGATTTGATTAAACATAGTCACATGGCATACGAAAACATACAAATTATAAACATTCTTAAATAAATAAACAATGATAGAATAAGAAGACTTTTACGGCTTAAATCAATTTGAAATATATAAAATATATTGAATTTGCATACATTATAAAATGAATTACAATTTCACGGCAAAATATATTTTTCTCTATATATCTAACTGGTCAGCAGTTTCCCTATATATCTAACTGGTCAGCAGATTCTACTATATGTTTAACTGGTCAGCATTTTCTCGCCTGAATGTAAAGAGCGTTAAATTTGCTGACCATATAGAATAAGAGAGTTTTACGGCTTAAATCAATTTGAATTAACATTAAATTGGTCAGCAGTGTTTTTACTTAATTAAATGTCGACATTATTTTATAAAATATATTAAATTTGCATAATGAGTAACAATTTCGTAGCATTTAAATATATTTTTCTCTATATATCTAACTTTTCAGCAGATTCTACAATATGGTCAGCATTTTAATAACATATTTTTGACTGTTTATTGTATTTTGTCATAGATAAATCAAGAATGACACGTCGCGTGTGAAATCGATTTTAATATGACCTTGGGGCATATCGATCTCGATAAATTATCAGTTTAATGGATATCTGTGGAAACATGTTGTTTATAATGTAATAAAAGCTTATTAACTATAACAATTAGCACATTATTAATTTTTGTTCAATATTACTTATACAATTATACGAACAACAAATAAGGAAACAGAAATCACTTTATTTCATATTTGCACTAAATACGACATAATAATTATATTTTGTTAAAATATACATTACGTATATGTACATGTATATATTTTAACCTATGATGCATAGTTTTATACATACTTGAAACAAATTATGATTTTTCGTACATCATATTTTGACTACATTTTTAAAATTTTAACCAATATATAACACATAGAAGAAAATTCATTAAGGTACTTAAATAAAATATTATATCAAAATAAATTGAGAAATATACAGTATATATCAATTGAATTTTTTATAATTAATATGTATCATTTGTAATATTGACATCTTGAAAAAACATTTTATCAAGCATTTCTCGACCTCGCCTGTAATATCACCAACGGCAATTTGACACCTTCATTGTTTTCCCTTCTTTATCTAACTGGTCAGCAGTTTTCGATAATCCTTCTTTGTTTAACTGGTCAGCAGTTTCCTATATATTCTCAAACTCCTCGCAGCGGTTACTTCCCCTGATCTGTACAGTAACCACTGCCACCACAAGTAAATTCGGTCGAATATAGCCGGATATATTTTTTTCACTTTTAATTTTAAAATAGAATACTTTATAGCGAGCTCGACGAGCTGGCCCGAAGGGCCTGCTCGCAAAGCGAGCTTTACGGTAACGCGAGTACCTGCTAAGTGATGGTTTTGAAAACTTTCGTCCAAAGTACCGAATTGGACACATCGCAACCTTTCGAATTTAAAGATAACGATAAAAACTGAGGAATTCTGACTGAAAACGGATGCGTAGACTGGTCACCCGCGCACGTCTATGAGAACCATAATTGGACAGGGAACCAGAATAACGGAAGCTGTGTATAAAAATGAAAAAAATCGAAGGCGCCATTTTGTTTGAAATCTGATAAATAAAAACAATTTTTTGTCGAATTTTGTTGTGAAAACTATCTAGAATGAAAGAAAATGGTCTAACTAAGAAAATGAATCCGAACACCAATATCTTTTATTCAGTCGTTAACGCTGTACAGACGTTTAAAGTATTGTTTACGTGACGTCACAATGTAGCGCCAAACAGCACGTGCAAAACAAACAAATCAAGTACGCTATTTTAATGTCGCAAACGTTTTAAGTTTTACATTTATTTCACTTTAAATAATCTTTATTTCGCTTGAAAAATTATAGAGTGAAATAAAATAAACAAAGTTTTATCAACGTTTTCAAAACTCGTTATTCATTTCACGACAGGGGCGGATCCATATTGAACACAGTACGTGTGACGTCACACGCACTCGTTACTGGATTTGAAATAAAAATGAGCGATTATTTCATACTATTTCACGTAAAAAGTACATCGAGCTCGCTTTGAGACTTTGCCTTTTTCATATTATAAATCCGTGAAAAAGTATTTCATTATTTCTTATTAAAATAGATATTAGCGAGCTCGACGAGCTGGCCCGAAGGGCCTGCTCGCAAAGCGAGCTTTACGGTAACGCGAGTACCTGCTAAGTGATGGTTTTGAAAACTTTCGTCCAAAGTACCGAATTGGACACATCGCAACCTTTCGAATTTAAAGATAACGATAAAAACTGAGGAATTCTGGCTGAAAACGGATGTGCATGTAGACTGGTCACCCGCGCACGTCTATGGGAACCATAATTGGACAGGGAACCAGAATAACGGAAGCTGTGTATAAAAAAATGAAAATCGAAGGCGCCATTTTGTTTGAAATCTGATAAATAAAAACAATTTTTTGTCGAATTTTGTTGTGAAAACTATCTAGAATGAAAGAAAATGGTCTAACTAAGAAAATGAATCCGAACACCAATATCTTTTATTCAGTCGTTAACGCTGTACAGTCGTTTAAAGTATTGTTTACGTGACGTCACAATGTAGCGCCAAACAGCGCGTGCAAAACAAACAAATCGAATACGCTTTTTTAATGTCGCAAACGTTTTAAGTTTTATATTTATTTCACTTTAAATTATCTTAATTTCGCTTGAAAAATTATAGAGTGAAATAAAATAAAGTTTTATAAACGTTTTCAAAACTCGTTATTCATTTCACGACAGGGGCGGAGCCATATTTAACACAGTACGTGTGACGTCACACGCACTCGTCACTGCATCTGAAATAACTTCATACTATTTCACGTAAAAACTAAAAAAGTACATCGAGCTCGCTTTGAGGCTTTGCCTTTTTCATATTATCATTTTAGATTTCTTTCGTTAAATAGTTATGCTTAATGTACAAGAAAGTAAAAAATTATACGTATAAAAATTATTTTGTAAACATAACGAAAGATATTTTCACTGTGACACCGTATGCATAGTAACAACCAGTAAATAATGGCAGAATATAAACAGTTATTGAACGATTGCACAAAAAGATTTGATCCGGCACTTGTTTTAAAGTGATAACAAATTGTGTGTATTGAACTTATTTTGTCTGGTAAGGATGTAATTATAAATCTGCCAGTTTGATATGGGATCCTTGGCGTTCTGAAACTGGCCGCCATGTTTTTGTCACATGATACAACTATCATCACGTGATTTCAGTGGTGGCAGTGGTTAAAGTAGCAAAGCGTGACGTAACCGCTGTGAGGAGTTTGATATATTCTATATCGTCAGCTAATTCGTCAGCAGTTTAGTGCGACCCGTTCGGTACGTTCCGCCAAGTTGCTATTGGCTAGCAATCAAATCGCAACTACTCGGTCCTTTCCGTCAGTCTTCGGATAATTATTTTAGACTGGCTAGTAGTCTTTGGCTGGTTTACTTGGTTACTGGTATAGATGGATAAGCTATTTTCGCGAAAATATGATCGCGGCTACGAAAATAAGATTTTTTTTTAAAAAATATTGCATTAATTTTATCTGGTTGAAAAATTATGTTAATTATATATTTATGCATTCTTTGAATGATTGAACAGCAGATAATATTTTAAAAAGTGAAGTTTGAGCCGAAAATACCATCATACGCAAATATAGCTCAAATTGGTTACTGAAATGAAAGAAATAGGATATTTAGATCCCAAGGGATCAAGTTTTTGGCTTCTCGACAACTAAACAAGACGCTCCGAGAAATAAATTAGCAAATATTTAAATCATCTCCCTTTACAAAATCAGAACTTACACTGAAAAGGTAAAGCAATAAATTGTTTTGTATTTACCTTGGGTAAACTATTTTAATCACGGAAATTTATTGACATCTATGAAATTCTCACTGATTATGTCTAAATTTAATGAAAGAATAAAAAAAACTATAGAATAGAGAAAGTATGTATCCCTAAAGAAAGGCTGCGGCGATAAAATAGAGAAAATAAAAAACCGCGATCCCTATTATTTTATGTTATGCCTATCAATAAAATACAAAAAGCAAAC